AGACCAAAAACGTGATTCATCCAATCACCAGATATCCTTATTTCTAAATGAATTTAAATATAATTAATTAACTTATGAATTTTCTAGTTTTTAATTGATATTAATAAAAAATAAATTTCTGTCCAATAACACTGTAAAATAATTTACAATCTCTTAAACTTTCAACATCTATAAGTATCCTTTGATATTTCCCTCTCCATTGAAATGTACCACAATAATTATTCATTTATAATTTAATATATTCATTGTTTAGATACTTCCATGTTTAAGAAGTGAATACATCTTGAATTAACATCCTAACCTGCTAACTTCGATACTATAGTATAAGAAATAGCACTTTTAATCGAAGCATACTAACATCTTTTGGCTGGTTTACAATTCTGTTATTTCTTGATCACATTCTATTTGTAATATATGATGATCGATTTTGCAGTTGCATACTTAATCTACAATCTCTTAGCAGCCTTTATCATAATATAGAAATTAATACATTTTTTATTTTGAGACCTTAAATTAAGACTAATTCAGCTAAAAGTTTTCTGGTTTATAAAGAACACTTGATATACTTTCTTTTGCTTCTTAAGTAAGTTTAATCCATTTTAAAAAAAATCTTGTTTAATTAAATACAGAATGATTTGAGAATTGTGGATTGTTTTGAATTAAATTATAATATCCGAATTTAAGAAAAGTCATATGAAATATATCAATGTGTTCAGTCAATTTAAAATAAGCTTCATCTCAGTTAGAATTAAAAATAATTGTAGAGAAGCATATTTGAATATGAAAATACTTATTATTTCTATATAAAGTAAAATAAATATATATTTCTTAAGTATTGATTATTAGAACATGAATTATTTAACTCCTAAATAATAAAAATGGAGATAAATAGGCCCTTGTATTACTGATTTCACATATGAAAACAACATCGATTGGCCTGTTACTTCATGTAAATGGGGACCAATCGTACAAGAATCTAAAGAATATATTAGACAAAAAGTATATTTTGCCATCAAAACAGATGGAATTTATGATGAAGTTACTAATATATGGAAATAAACACCATGTTAATTAATCGTAGCTACTGTAGGTAATATAGTATGATTATTTAGATATACCACAAGTAAAATATTAGATTAATCACCAAGTTACTTTTGTGTTTTAGTAATTGCAATTTTATAAAAACCCGCATTTAAAAATACGTCAAATCATTGTTCATCCAGGAGATGTAAATATCATTAAATGCAATACAACTTAAAAATTAATTGCTACAAAAAGTGATAATAGCAATGTACTTGTTTGGGATGTAACAAAACATAAAAATTAATAAAATCCAAAAGACCCACATGCAGGTATTCCTGAAATATATTTGATGGGTCATTCATAATAAGGTCATTCTACAGCTTTGGATTGGTCTTAAGAATATAAATTAGGTAGTGGTGGAAAGGATTGTAAAATCTTATTGTGGGATATTAATGATTATTAAACTCGTTTATCAACTAGTTCTATATTTACAAACAAAAGAGAATTAAGCAATATATGTGGAAATGATTCAATTAAATTAGATAAAAGAACTGTCTTGACTGGGCATTAAGCAGAAGTTGTTGATATGTCTTTTAATAAATATTAAACAGATCAATTAGTATCGTGTTGTTAAAATAGATAAATTATATGTTGGGATTAAAGAATGGATGGAGGAAAATGTTGGAGTTTAGATGAAGTACATAAAAAAGATATTCATTGTGTAAGTTGGAGTTAACACGATGAAAATTATATTGCTAGTGGTTCATTAGATGGAAGTGTACATATTATTGATATTCGTAAACCAATTGGAATTTAAGAATATATCAAAGAAGTTGATAATCTTTCATAAGTTTATTCATTATAATTCGGACCTGATAGAAATCATTTGACTATAGGAAGTGAAGAACTATATTCAGTTAATTTTTAAACCAAAGAAACTACCTTCTGTTATTTTGGTCATAAGTAAATTTCTTATTTTAATCATTATAAAGAGGCAGTATCAATGATTTTGATATTAATGAAAAAAGTCCTTGGACATATGTTAGTACATGTCAAGAACACGAATATTTTGGAGGAGGATGCTTACATATATATCGTTTATTAGATTTAGTTTATTTAAATGAAGAAGAAGCATATTAATAATTAAATAATTGAAATATAATATATATAATAAATGTATCATTTATTATTAATAGGTTATTTGAAAAATATATATTAAATAATCAATGTAATTTATTTGAAATTATTAACATATTTTAGATATTAATTAATTTAAAAACAGAAAGATTATCATAATAATTATTTAATAATAATAATTAAAAATCATTACATAAAAAATATATTATTGTTTATTTAATTTATTTAAAAACATTTATTATTAATTAAAGATTGTAAGCCTAATATAATTTCTTCATTTTCTTTCTTTCTTTCTTGAATTGATATTTATTTATTTTGTATAATGTAACCAAAAATAATTAAAATGACATTAATTTTCTAATATTTATTTTCAAAATATATCATCTAAATTAATTTATTTTTCTGGACGATTAATAGGTCTTCTTTTTCGTTTTTTTTATTTCTTTTATTATGAAAACTTTGACTAAATAACACTAAACTAAACTTTTTTTTAAGTTGCATATTTTGAGAGTGATAAACTACTGCCACTTAATTATTTTAAACATGATTTCTTTGATGGAGAATCTGATTAAACACCTGATTCTTAAGAACTCCAGTTTAACTGAATTTATTCTTAGATTTCATTCTTTATAATATCATCTGGATAATTTTATTTTTGGTGTTCAATATTAATCTTTAAGCATTATATTCCTTCATGAATAGAAAGTATGGAAATTTCAACTTCTTATAAATCTTAGGAAATATCTGAATTAGATTTGCTTTCATTAATTTAAATATGGTTAATAGAACAACCCATCTATATTGAAAAATATTTAGGTTTTTTTATAAAATATCATTTGATAAATTTCATTAAAATAGTTATTAGTTGATAAATTATATTTGTTATTGAATATTATATTATTAATCTAACTTTGTTAATAGTTTTTGCTAAGAATATTAGAGTGTTTAAATAGTATACACACAATATATGTTTGTAATATTATTATTAACAATATATTAATTCAAAATCTTAGTTTTTATTAATAAAAAAATAGTAATTAATATATTTAATCATCATGTCAAATAAAACTGTTTATCCTTGGTAAAAATATTCAGCAAATCCCCTAATCGTAAAGGATGATGTTGGGAAAGCAAAACCAAATACTTACCCTATTCCTGATTGTGCATTTGGAACTAGAACTGTGCCTGGAAAAGAGGAAACATTAGGATAAGTCTTGTGTCATATGGAGCATTTTGCTTCTATGGATATAAGACCAGAAAAGGATTTCAAAAAAACTAATATCATGAGTATTAAACGTAATTTGTGTACAGCAAAAGAATTCTAAGAATTTAGACAGTCACATGATATTAGATAAAAGATTGTTTAAGGTAAGCCAAAAATCATTGAAACTCCTAAATAGTAAGTTTTTGGCAGGAAAAATAGGTATAAAATTAATTCTAATATTAAGAACTCCTTCTCCAATAAAAAATGTTTTAGCATATGATTATGGAACAGTAGCTGAGAAGAAATAAGCAGAAGCATATACAAATAGACCATCCACAGCAAAGAGTAGAATATCAGTAGAAACTAAATCAAGCAAATTACTCAAGGAAACAATAAAGAAGAATCAATTAATATAATCTCAACCAGAATAACTGAAAAAGTTGTCATAATTCACTAATATTTAAGCAAAAACTAAAACTAGATATTGAATTATATTTATATTCATCATTTGTTATTACAATCTAATCATGAATAATTAATAATTGAATATATGATTATATTTATTATCTACATAAATTTGATTATAGATTAGACAACATAATTTAAATTAATAAAAAAGAAATGATTATATTTACTATATATGAATGCTATTAAATATGATTTAAATTTTAGATAATAAACAAAAAATCCAAGTTTAAATAATTCTAAAAGTAAGTATAAACAGAAAAGAAATAATAGTAATTACAATAATTTAATAATTTTAAAGGTTTATAAACATCTTATTTTAATGCTTCATAGTAATAAAAATTTTCATAAATTATAATCAGACTTTGTAGAACAATTGTGAATCATATTAAACTTATTATTAAATTGATAGATGTTAAATATCAATTTAGGATATAAGGATTATTTATATTTTTACATTTCATTTATATTATATTTGATAATTTATTTCATATATTATTCATGATACTAATATCTACCAATCGAATTTACATTATTTTATTGAATACCCATAAATTATACATACAGTCAGCATGATTTAACTTAATAGATTTTTTTATTATAAAAATATATAGATAGTTCATTATTTTATAAATGTTTATTAATGGACTTAATTTCAATGATGTTCTACTTTGTTATTATAATAAATTATTGTTTATTCTTATTATTCCTTTATTATTTTTTATGTCATATAGATTTAACAACAGAATAGTATTTAAAAATAATCTTATTTAAGTCATATGATTTTGAATTGCTTATTCACAAAAATCTCTTTAAGTTTTCTTGTTTTAATTTATTTATCTCTTTTATAAACTTAGTTAAGAATATATTTCAATTATATTAATGTTATATTAATCGAAGTTTTTAATAATAGAAATAGAAATTATGATCATCATCTTTAACAAATGTTTATTTAAAGCAGTTTTTTCTTCTTTTAGTATTCCATTCTCCTTATATTACTTAATTTATTTAACAACGGCTTACAAATAGATTTTCTACAATAGAATAGTTATTATTTCCTAGTTTAATTGAGAGTGCAGAAATCTATTAAGAAAAATTTACAATGAATCTATAGTCTCTTAGTTTGTTGCACTTAAGACAAATGAATGAAAACATATTTAAAAATAGCTTTCTTGGCATTATAATATTAATTAACAATACAATAATCATTGTTTAATTGATAAATCAGAGACCACCTTGGGTTTCAACCAGCAAATCAATTTAAGTTCCTTTTCTAACTCCTTATTCTTCAAATGTTCGGTTTGGGTTTAATTGAGTTCCTTAATACCTTAATACTATCTTTTCTTGTCCAGATGGGTGGAGCATTTCGTAAAATTCATTAATTAATTCTTAGACCTTAGTTGAAGGATCTATTTCTATATTATAAACCTTGTTTTTCTATGCATATGTTATGATCACTGTTATTGATTAATTATTACTCATTCTCTTTATTCTAAATCTTTACCTAAAATAAATATTAAATTAATGTATTATTTTTTATTTTTAATACTTATAAACATTGAACTAATAGAAAAAAAATTAAAAATATAAATGACATTATTATATTACTTAGACAAACTTAAAATACTTAATGATATAATTATTATCAATTTCTAACATGATTGATAGATTTATAACATTATATATAAATATTAAGAATTATAATGAAATAAATTATATAAATTTGAATTTCATTTAATTGTATAAATTCTGTTTATAATCTAAAACAAAAAAATCAATTCTACAAAACTCTTATTTTTTAAATAGATTAATATCACATCCCTAATTACATTTTCTACTGTTTACTTAAAAAAAAATGTAAAAATAAATAAATATAGAATCAGTTATATATAATCTTATTCATGAAAAAGTAACGATTTAATTTATATGGAATATCATTAAATATTATTTAATGGGAAATAAACTATAACAATCTCAATAACAATTGAATTCTTACCCATAAGAGAGTGCTTTTCAATTTTCAAATTAAGATCAAAGTCTTTAATCAAGACTTACACATTAATTAATTGAAATAAATTAGGCTCTGCAAGAACCAGCTATTACTGAATATCAGGATAATTTATAAAACAATGCTTTCTCGGATCTTATTCATTAATAAAATTTCAAATTTTAGAAGAAATGCATTTTGAAAGTCTTAATGATTTTTTTAATTTGGTCATTAATTCAATTCTTCATCCTATATATACTCTTAAAAAGAGGAATGTTTAACCTTATTGACTTAATATCTCCTTATTTATTCCATATTTCAGTAATTTTTATGTATGGAATGGCTAAATTTGGAACTCTTAAATTCTCTAGAAAGGTAGATTCAAATTAATATTTTATAGTATCCTTAAAATTGCCTAATATTATTGCTTCAAGTGTATTTTACTACCTAAACTTATATTACTTTTTGTAGATCCTTTAGCAATGAAAGAATTCATGTTTCAAATGGAATATAACATACTAGTAATCTTTATTTATATATTATGCTAGCTGCTGATTTTGTTACTAAATATGCTGTACAATAATTTCTATTTAATATTTTAATTACTTCAACTCTCATTATTTATATAATTATTGAAAAGTAAAGAATTCGTCCAATTGGTAAACATTATTAGTATTTTAGTTGCCATAGCATTATGTTGTGTCTCTAGTCTTATTCCTTTAATATTTGAATATTGGTTATTTATCAATTCCATAGTTGCTTCTTTATATGGATCTACTTTAGTAGTTGTCATATTGCAAATATTGAAAGGAAGAGTAATAATTATTAAATATTTTATTAGTTTGAATTGGAAACACCAAACATAATAACAGCCACTAACATCCTTTTTTATGGACTTATCTCTCCGATTGATCTAAAATGAGATCTATTAATTTAAATTTGAATGTATAATTATTTGTATCAAAAATAGTATAATTATTTATAATTTTAAGTTAAAAAGATATCTTAATCATCCTTATTTATATAATTAATTATATTAAATGAATTGATATTATAATATAAAAATAAATAAAAAAAAAGGGTTGTCAACACGAGGACTTCCCAAGCNTAAAAAAAAATGTAAAAATAAATAAATATAGAATCAGTTATATATAATCTTATTCATGAAAAAGTAACGATTTAATTTATATGGAATATCATTAAATATTATTTAATGGGAAATAAACTATAACAATCTCAATAACAATTGAATTCTTACCCATAAGAGAGTGCTTTTCAATTTTCAAATTAAGATCAAAGTCTTTAATCAAGACTTACACATTAATTAATTGAAATAAATTAGGCTCTGCAAGAACCAGCTATTACTGAATATCAGGATAATTTATAAAACAATGCTTTCTCGGATCTTATTCATTAATAAAATTTCAAATTTTAGAAGAAATGCATTTTGAAAGTCTTAATGATTTTTTTAATTTGGTCATTAATTCAATTCTTCATCCTATATATACTCTTAAAAAGAGGAATGTTTAACCTTATTGACTTAATATCTCCTTATTTATTCCATATTTCAGTAATTTTTATGTATGGAATGGCTAAATTTGGAACTCTTAAATTCTCTAGAAAGGTAGATTCAAATTAATATTTTATAGTATCCTTAAAATTGCCTAATATTATTGCTTCAAGTGTATTTTACTACCTAAACTTATATTACTTTTTGTAGATCCTTTAGCAATGAAAGAATTCATGTTTCAAATGGAATATAACATACTAGTAATCTTTATTTATATATTATGCTAGCTGCTGATTTTGTTACTAAATATGCTGTACAATAATTTCTATTTAATATTTTAATTACTTCAACTCTCATTATTTATATAATTATTGAAAAGTAAAGAATTCGTCCAATTGGTAAACATTATTAGTATTTTAGTTGCCATAGCATTATGTTGTGTCTCTAGTCTTATTCCTTTAATATTTGAATATTGGTTATTTATCAATTCCATAGTTGCTTCTTTATATGGATCTACTTTAGTAGTTGTCATATTGCAAATATTGAAAGGAAGAGTAATAATTATTAAATATTTTATTAGTTTGAATTGGAAACACCAAACATAATAACAGCCACTAACATCCTTTTTTATGGACTTATCTCTCCGATTGATCTAAAATGAGATCTATTAATTTAAATTTGAATGTATAATTATTTGTATCAAAAATAGTATAATTATTTATAATTTTAAGTTAAAAAGATATCTTAATCATCCTTATTTATATAATTAATTATATTAAATGAATTGATATTATAATATAAAAATAAATAAAAAAAAAGGGTTGTCAACACGAGGACTTCCCAAGCGGTCCCCCACCTTAGTACTAACCTCGCCTTAAGCCGCTTAACTTCGGAGTTCGAATGGGATCCGGTGCTTTAGGCTTAGTATGGCCGACAACGATATTTACTATCCACTTCTCTATTTATACATGGGGGTTTATTATAGTTTAATATGAAATAATAAAATGAATAATATAAACATTTTCAATAACTTAATCTCTACTTTGTGCAAATATAGGAATATGTTTGAATACATGAAATGATATCAAGTTCCAAACTTACATTAATAATTTGAAGTTTGTACTAATTTTTTCTTTAATTTTATTAGGCGGGCTGTGGGTTTGAATAATAACTCTGAATTGTCAAAAATGAATTCTGTTAGCTATTTATAGTTTGATATAATACTCTAGATCATGTATAGGAGATAATCTATAAATTATCTCAAATATTTTTGTGAATGAGAATTTTTCCATCTTCTTAGAAGGTGTTCAATTTAACAATAACCAAATTATAGAAGTACTTTGGAAGATTTTAAACAATTTATGTAGAAATTCAACCCTGTAAATATTGAAAAAAATAACTTATATTTTTCTTGTATATGATTAAACTATTAATGTTATTACAGAAGAGAAATAATGAACATTAAATTTTATTGATAAATGACATATTCTGATATAAAAGAGTTAAATTTACAACATTATTTCAATACTCATAGATCCAATATATTTTAGAATAATGTAAATAATTAAATTTTATTCAAATACATTGGATATTTTAGATATCACTTATATATTGTTATAAATATCTGCTTTATCCTATATGTATTTGATTTAATTATTTATTTATATTGACATAAATTCATTATAATTTTTTTTATAGATAGTAACACAATGACTTGATATCATATTTTTATAGATATTCACTGTTCACCCATCGATTTTTAGGAATTATACCTAATATATTTAATTAAAGAATACCATTAGATCGCTTTTGCCATAATAAATAATACATTTTGATGCCTGTTTATTTGATCTATGCAGCCTATCCTATTTTATCCAATTGATCTCCATATTCAAATCCTCCTTCATTAGGTAATTTAACCTCAGTATTCTTTTGAGATAATTCAGAAATAGAATCCTAGATATTCTCAGAATCCTGTTATTAATTTGATTGTTATGGTTTCTTTTCTTAAGGAAGAGTCTATATCAACTATATAATCTCTTCTTACTATTTTTTTACTTGGTTTAATTCTTGTTTTAATAAACTCACTTAATCTTATAGTTTCTTAATTTATTCTTATTATTATTGCAATACAGATTATTTTTATTGACTTGGGACTCCAATAAAATCTTCTAGTAAAGGTGGTTCATCATTTTCAATATGATAAAAATTGGATCCTAAATTTTTGACATTCTATTCATATTGACTTATATATTAAGGCAAATTGGGAATCTTCTCTGGTTTCTCCCATGTACAATCTCTATTGTTATACCCTTACCATTTAATAAGATAGTATTTTTATCCTTGATATTGTTTATAATCGAGAATCTATTCTATGAAATACAAGCCCTTTTTCTTTTTGGACATTTGTTCCCTTTTTTTTAAATTAAATTATAATTCTAATTTATATTTTAATTTATTTTTACATAGCCACTTTATTGTAGGTCATTCATATATTTGATGGTGTCTTTCCAAATAACTTATATTATAATATATTTATTACAATAAATATTATTAAATCGCATCATAACGAGATTATAATAAAAATAATCATTAATATCTTGAGTAAATATTAGGCAATTAAAAAGAGTCCTTATCTCTTTTCATCTTCATATATTCATCAATTTCTAAGGTCATTTCTTCAGATTTTAATCTATACCCTTCAAAATCATCATCATTAAAAGCTAAGCTTTTCTGAGATTGTCTTTGAATTTAAGGGAAAATGCTTTTATCCCTAATCAAATTCTCCATATGATCTGACATCGATAATCCTCTTAATTCTTTTGGCTTATTTGGCTTCTTAATATTCTTTGGACTAAAATACAGAATTTATTTACTGACACATAAGTGTTATTATCTTGATTCTTTTTCTTTTAAAATGCCATTACTCCAATAATTTTGTATTGATTATTCTATTAACTAACTGAACTTATAGATTGTTATAAATCATTGTGAGATGTGTTCTTTGAAAATACTATTTTTTTCTTTACAGCCTTTAAAGGTGATGAATTAAAGGCATTTCTTAACATATTATCTCTTTCCAAGTATTCATCATACATCAATTCTTAAACTATTTATTGAACAGATTTATTTTAAAATTTGTGAAGCAATTAATGAGACATATATTTTATTATTTTTTTATTTATATTTACAAAAATGGAAATCAATAATATTATAAAAATTATTTCAAAATTTCTATTAATTTAATTTCATTAGCACATTATTTAAGTTAAAATTAGCTTTGTAATATTGATATTCACAAATTTTGTCAATATCAAGAAGTGAATCAAAATCTTAAAATCCAGTCTAACTGATTCCTTAATGATGTTTGTGTTATTATTCAGGAACTTATAAATGTTTAATCAAAGTACTACTTATGATAGGATCAGTAATTTTATCTGAAATCATATCAATTTATAGTATATCTTTATGAATCTGAGTTATTGAAGTTTGCTTACCAATTTATTCAAAATGAATAGGTAAATTTGATACACTTACTTTATCACTTGAATAATCAGAAAAGGCTTCGAAACTATCTGAACTGATATCAAATACAGCATTGTTATTAGTTCCCTAATGAGTTATCTAAATTTCAATTATAAAATACTTATTAATAGATGCCTGCTTTAATTCTATTGTTATTTTTCCTCTAAAACATTGGACTTCTTTCTTAATATATTTTTTCATTTGTGAATCTTTTTTTTACATTGAAACAAATGCAATTAAAAGTTGGATGAAATAGATTACAAAAATGACATTGAATATTTAATTCCTAAGTATTATTGTTAAAGATAACATCATCCCTTATCATTTAATACTTCTCCTAAAGATAATAATGTAAAATTACTTTCTCTTATTGTTTTTATAAACAATCATTAAATTAATTTTGATTGATATAAAAATATAATAAGTCATTCATATCAACTTATTCAAATCTAATTCTACCTTATTATTAAGTATTCATCATTTCAATCAAACATAAATTAATAATTTTCCTATTATCAATTTAAAGTTTCATTCCCATAAATTCTATATCTATATTTCCAGCAATTATAATGTATAATCCATTAATTTCAGCTTATTAATTCTTTTTATAATCAATTAAATATACTTATTACTTCAAATTCTGTCCCAAAACTCCTTTTACACTAATTTAATTTAATGCAGATTATGATAAAAAATTTAAATGACTGAGTTCTTATCTTATTAACTTCATTTTTATATATTCAAGCAAATACTTTTTCTTTATATCATCTTTAATATTCATTTGATTTTCTATTAATAAAAAGAGTCCTGAATAATGAAATAAGATTAATTTAACTTTTAATTCTAACATATTGGATTTTAAGAATAATCTATAAGTTTTTAAAGCGAGATCGCATTTTTACATTTGTAATTGACATTGTTGAAAAATTGTAAATACAAAAATTAGTATAATTATGCTAGTAATTAAATGAGTTATTATTAAATAATGATTTTAATTTTCTAATTGATCAATTTTTAAAAAAAACATAAGAAATGATTTATAAAAACATTCGGTATAAATAAGATCTTCTTAATTTGTCTTTTTTAATTCTACTCCCCAAATACAAGCAAAGTAGTGTATTTAGAATAATATTAAAATGATCAATTTTGTAATAATAATTTACCTAATTTATAAAAATATGTGTTACTAATAATTAATATATAGGATTAAACTTAGCATTTTTTAAATAAATTTCAAATTTCTTTAGAACAATAGGAAATATAATATTGTAAATAAAATTATATTGTTGGCTTTAAGACAAAGTGTATAAGTTAATAAGATTGCAATATTAAGTAATGATACTGAAAATCGCTTATTTTTCAGAAATTAGCCAAGCAATTTGATGAATTAAGTATATAATTCCAAAATCAATAAAAACAGAAGAACTGGGAAATATAATGGATCTGATTCTCTAGAAATAATCATTAATCTAATTACATAAAGTTCTCATAGTAAAAGTAAGGTAAATAAAAGGTCAAAATAAAGAGTGTAATGTTTATTATGTTAGATGAAATAATTTTTGAATACCAAAACTTTTCAGATTAGACCAGAAGAGATTTTAGACTTTCTTCATTACTGTAAGTATGATAGGAACAAAGTTTCTCTAATTTTTTAGGAGCATGATTGTTTTCACTTTCAGAATCGCTAAATTTACTAAGCGACATATGAGGATTGTTTTCAGCGACATTGCATATTGGCATAGAGCTGAAATTACAGGATTAAAAAGAGGGCCAACAAACAGAAACATCATTAGATGGATATTTTAAGGGTTTGCTCATTTCAAGTTAAACACTTTTTCTCATTTCTGAATTTTAGAAATTAATGAAATACTTTTTTCAAGATTTTTCTTGCAAATTTAAAAAACAATAAATAATAAATACTCAATTATAAATTTCTATAGCAGTTATTGATACATTAATATAATACATAAATGTCTTGTTTTAACTTAAACCAAATTAAAAATAACATAACAATCTATGGTTTAATTGATAAAAATGATAAACAATCTTAAGTTTACAATGATAAAAAATTGTTTACTTAATTCATAATTTCAAACATTATATCATAAAAGAGAATTATAAAGTGACTTTGTGCAATCAGCATTAAAGTATATAAAGATTCAATTTAAAATCTGAGAGATTTTTAGAAGATGAAGAGGAAATTAAAAGAATTGATAAAAGAAAGTTTAAGAGGAATATTAATATAACAATATTAGGAACAAATATTGTATTTAATAAAAAAATCTTATTCTTTGATATTTTTAGCTAAAATTCTTGTACTCAAATATTCTTTAAGTAGCTATTCTTTTAGAAGAATATTAAGAGAGGACACATGATATTGATCAAAACAGAACAGGTCAGTAAGGAAGATTTCAGAAAATAAAAATAATGATGGACTCAAATAATAACATTAATAAAGTATAAGAGGGTTTATTAATGAAGGCAAGAGATTTTTAATTTAATTTAAGAGAAGGAGCTTAAATTGAAACTGAGAAAATATGAGGGAGAAATAGAGAAATGTAAGAATAATAAAAATGTCTATACTACCATTTTTTATATTAATATATACAATTGAAATGATGAATAAATAAAAGAGAAAAAAAAAAGAGAGATCAAATTATAAAAAGTTAAAATTTATGTTATAAAATCCGTTTCTCTATCAAAGCATTGCCTATAATTCAAAATCTGCTATCCTTCGATTAGATACTTATTTTTAAATAAAATTGTTTAGAGTATAAAATTATTTAATCATTTTAATTAAATAAATTAATTTATTAAATGAATTGATATTATAATATAAAAATAAATAAAAAAAAAGGGTTGTCAACACGAGGACTTCCCAAGCGGTCCCCCACCTTAGTACTAACCTCGCCTTAAGCCGCTTAACTTCGGAGTTCGAATGGGATCCGGTGCTTTAGGCTTAGTATGGCCGACAACGATATTTACTATCCACTTCTCTATTTATACATGGGGGTTTATTATAGTTTAATATGAAATAATAAAATGAATAATATAAACATTTTCAATAACTTAATCTCTACTTTGTGCAAATATAGGAATATGTTTGAATACATGAAATGATATCAAGTTCCAAACTTACATTAATAATTTGAAGTTTGTACTAATTTTTTCTTTAATTTTATTAGGCGGGCTGTGGGTTTGAATAATAACTCTGAATTGTCAAAAATGAATTCTGTTAGCTATTTATAGTTTGATATAATACTCTAGATCATGTATAGGAGATAATCTATAAATTATCTCAAATATTTTTGTGAATGAGAATTTTTCCATCTTCTTAGAAGGTGTTCAATTTAACAATAACCAAATTATAGAAGTACTTTGGAAGATTTTAAACAATTTATGTAGAAATTCAACCCTGTAAATATTGAAAAAAATAACTTATATTTTTCTTGTATATGATTAAACTATTAATGTTATTACAGAAGAGAAATAATGAACATTAAATTTTATTGATAAATGACATATTCTGATATAAAAGAGTTAAATTTACAACATTATTTCAATACTCATAGATCCAATATATTTTAGAATAATGTAAATAA